TCTTTTCATGTTTTATATTTCCCATTCAATTTTAATTAACTACTTAACACTTCGATAAAATATTTATTCTTTTTCTACTTTTTTTATGTTTAGTGACTTACCTAATATTGTTAAACTAGAACAAGCGATGAAAAATGTAAGCCATATTGAAAGAAGAGAAAATCTTTTTTATGTTATTCTTAAATTAGTAAAGCGTGGTAAAAAGTATCTCTAAAGCAGGCTTTACAATCTGGTAATTAATTAATAATTCTATCAATTTTTCTAACAAAAATTGTATATTTTGGATGAATAATTTTACTTTGTGTTTAACTTCATTTAACTTTTAAAAAAGGGCGTGTCGGATATTTTACTCTGGAAAATCGAAGCTACGGAATCTGAAATAAAGATAAAACGTAATGCAAATAAGGGCTGCATTTAAGCAGGACGGAGGCTGCGAGAGCTGAAGGTCGATTGGAAACGAGAAAACTTTTTCACCATTGTTAGTCTACATGTTCCACCTCGCTCGATTGTCGAAAGTTACGAACGCACCGATTTGCCCGGAGTTCGCGATTAAATGCGATTCCGCGAGTGAATCTATCCGCCGATCTATCCGCCGTAAAGAATCGATACGAGGCGCAACCGGAAAACCGGTCTGATTGCATTTGCATGCTCAGGCTTGGTTCAGGGCTCCGATATTAATTGGAAAAGCAATTTTATGCAACACGACAACATTAAAAGATCGTCGTTATTGGAACGCGCATTTTAATTGTCCAGAATAAAAGTACTTTGGTTTTCGGTATATCATAAACACAGGGTTGGTAAAAAAATATTTTTTCAACGTATTTTGAACAGTTTAAAATATGTTTAATCGATGTTTTACATATATTTTTTTTATAATACTGTATTTTTAAAATATATTTGAAGCATTAGAAACATGTTTACAACTCTGTGTAATAAAGAAAAGTCAAATTTGACAAGTAAAGATGAGAAATAATAATATTTTATCCACGTAAATCATTAAAATAAATCACGGAACATTTTGAATTTAATTCAGTCATTCTCAACAGTTGAAAATAATAAATTTATAAATTAAAAGCATAATAAAAAACAACAGCTTGCGATGGAATGTGAACGGAGTCAACAAGCCATTTAATAGTCCAGATGCAAACATGATGTAAATTTAAAATAAAATAATTTAAACAATAATGTTTTTGTTAGATAAAAATCCACGCAAGGAATAAAGTAAAAATGAAATTTATGATTAAAAAAATTGTGTAGTGAAAATTGATTTTTCGTGCAACAGCGATAAAGAAGAGAGCAAGAATAAAATGTATAAGTTAAATGTCAAAAGTGACAGCATTGTGGATGCTAGCAGTGTTCAAATATATTAAAGTACTTAATATTGGAATTATAAATTAAAGATATAAACAAAAAATGACAGAATAAAAATGTTTATATAAAAATAAAAATCATCAAAACATAAAAAATTAATGATTGTGTGAGTGCACAAAAATAAAATATCAAAAAATGAATAAAAAATTATTAAAAACCTTAAAAGGATTATTAATGCCCATTTTTGCCAATGTAGATTAACTTTAATTTTGGTTCAACTTGCTCTTCATTGTTTTCTAATTCTTAAAATTAGAAAAAAATGAAACAGTTATTAGAGGGAATTAGTTGAACCGAAATTAAAATTACTACATTGATAGAAACGGGCGTTAAAGTGTCAGTATGAAACAGTAAATTAGAATATACATCTGTTTACATAAAAATCTAGAGAGAGAGAGAGAAACATATTCCTCTATCAATTCTGCATGATTCTGTTTCCCAATACATACGTTTCCTTTTCTATCTCTCTCATCGTTATCGTAAATATCTGTCTATTATACGAGATAAAACTATAAAATAAAATGATTAATTTTGCCGCGACGATGGACCGTGACCGGGTTTCCGTTTTCGAGGAAAAAAACTCAATATTAAAAAAGTGGCTGTTTACAGGAAGCGCGATTGGACAACCGATTTCCATAAATTCTCGCGGCGCGTATATCGAACAAACGTTACCCAGAGTACACGGGGCACGTTTCAACGTTGCCTCCGTGATGCCTATATTGCTGTCATAAATTTAACAAGGCAGCCCGACATTAACCCACCAACGCAACCGCCGCCTATACTTCCGGCACCGGCTCGACCTCCACGCGTTCGATAAAATAGCCGTCTATACGCTCCCTCGTATTATTTACGCCGATTTAATGAACCGCGTCGGAGTCACGTGCACCGCCGCGAAACGTTCCGCGAATTGCCCAATGAAAACAACCGCGGAAAGTCGATTTGTAAATCTTTCTTCACGTCGCGTCGTGATTCAAGTTCGCCGTTTGTTCGTCTTTCACGACACCCTCACGGCAGAAACAACGAAATACATTTCTTTCCGTAACATGCCACGGCAGATGCTGCGTTATACCTCTTGTATTTTTGCATGTTTATTTCTACGATGTACTGTATATTATTTGTAAAAATGAAAATTACCCGAATTACTCGTTGCTAGATACGATACGCTTGTACGATACATTTCCGCACGTAGGTACGTTATATTTCGCGAAATGTACGGCTGTGACTAAACATATGTAAATACATATATCTGCATACGTAAATGCACGTATTAAGGGAAACATAAATGAATAACTTATTTTCGAAATTATATTTTTTTGCCTGGCTTTCATGAATATTTTAAAATTCCATTGCCACTGTAATGTTAAACATTGCAACAATAATTATCCGATATATTCACATTTATATCAAAATACAATCGTCGCGTTGTTACTGACTATACATCGACAAGTTAATGCTTAAACGACCGAGATATCAGCACCGTTATCGAACATGTTCGAAAACAGATCCGTTTCAGATGGTATCTTCAGAGTAAACATATTCGTATTATTATTTAACAGTCGCGAAAACGTATTGTGTCAGCAATGGAGGTTTTTACGATGTGATTGAATGTTTGTCGTAACAAGAACGACATAAGTTCGAGCCCCTGCTCGGACAACGAACGCCGGAAATATTGTTCATATCGATTTAATAAAACACCCGCGTAGAGCATGGTCGGTGTTCTGCTTACGAAGAGTAAGAAGAGAGAATATTCCAGACGCGAAATTTCCTCCGTATCTCATGATCGAGGATATGATGCGAAAAACCGCTGCGACTTCAGTTTGCAACGGTTTTCTTTCCTCGCGAAAACAGAGAATTCTTATATTTAATTGACGAAACATTCTCGCGTGTACACATCGCGAAATGCATTGTCGCTAATGACCCGCGTTTGACACAGAAACGTCGTGTACTTTGTTGGGAAAAGCAATCGTTTGCCTACCGTCTTTCCTCTCGATTTTCCATCGCGCTAGCGAGCGAGCGAACGAGCGAGCGAACCATTGAGTTTCGAGAAATAAATCTCGATGTTGCTGAGATTCGTCGTGCATCAGTGGAGTGAAAAATTGGACTACGTCACCGTGTTTGGTTCGTGCCAACATTTCTTGCTTTTAATATTCAATAAACAAGGAATTTGTACCCTGTCGCGGGATATTTTCGCGCGACTTCCGTTGCGTAGAACTTTCAGAGATTGGTAAATTTCACTCCATCAATAATGTAAATTTTTTTATGCATATATATACTCTTTTAAGGCTTTTAAAATATTAATAGGTACAGCTGAAGTTACTAAATTTGTTAAGTATTGCAATGGCATATCCATTTTTTAGCACTCCGAGTCGAATAGCAAATACTGTACATAATACAACAAAATTTCATTTAGGTACACATTAAGTGCACTCTCCAAATTCTTTGGAGTAAATCGCATTTCAAAAGAATGAAATCTCACTGCAAAGACTTTAGAGAGTGGCTTAACTTGTACCAATTTTTCTATGCATTTTTTTTTTTTTATCAAAACGTTTACTTCTTGTGAAATTTACTTTTTTCTTCGGTGGTTATATTGATGTGTACTTTCATCTTCTGATGACATCTGAACTATACTTATACGTATACTTTCATACATTTTTATGCACTATGAAGTCTCAACGATAAATAAAACCGCATTAGACTAAAGAATACATGAATTAAGCATTTGTACATATATTTCTTTATTCATAAAAGAACTTATTTAATTTGAGAGAAGATAATAGAAATTATTTATCTAATAATGTTTTATATATTTAATATTAATTATTTTATTTTTATATAGCATAAAAAATATTTTTTGTCTTCTTATCATAAATTCTTTTTGTTAAAAAGTATTTTCTTCACGTTGCAACAAAAAAAATGGCACTATACATATAAGCTGTGTTATTCACTATGAGTACTGAATAGTTCACATTAATATTGGTACTATAGATTTTCAGTACTCGCAGTGAATAACGGAACGCAACTATATATTGACTTGTTATATTAATAATGAATATTTATTATTAAAAAAATCTAATGAGCGAGAGAAACATTTTATAAATGTAAACATAATAAGTATGTTATTTAAATTTTTGAGTTTTTATCCAACGTTATACCCGCAAAAACAAGGTACATGTCCATACGATCCAGTTGTCGACCTGTTTATTCACAGAAGACAATGGTACAATGGTGTCGCGTTAAACACATGCTACCTTAACATTCGAAATGATGTTGCGCCAGGCCGATGTGTCTTTGTAATGACGATAATATGAGCGACTATTATTCACAAAAGTTGCAGTGTAATGTTATGGGATAATGAGCTACTGTGTATCTCCTATTCGTGAAAAAAAAAAAAACAGAATATACGTTGGTTACGAACATTTCAGCTCGAACGCGAGCATTCTATTAAGATAAATGTACACAACCGCACATATATGTGTAATATTGACTTAAAAAGAACGTTTGAATAACCGTTGTACAGTGACAATAATATTATTACGTAATGTATATAGTAATAATAGTATAAGCATTGAATATTATTGTCTCGTGTATTCATTAGCAATAGCATTTCTCTGACTAGACATTTTTTGTTACAGAGTCATGACAGCTGGCACGGACACGATAGTGACCAGGTGAGCGCTCAATACTTGGAAAATGTTTGCGAAAATATAATTTGTATTAACACACACCCGCTTCGCTCTTTCCTGAAAACTTTCCTCTCTCGCACGCTCTGCTTCTTTTATCACTCGAATATTTGGTCCGCTACTTTTGGAAAGGCACGCTGACTTTGTGAAATCCACAATTTGCATGTTGATGCGCTAGCTTCGCCACGTTCATTCGTTCACCGGGACCCCGCATGTTGTACGAAATTTTCTGGACAGCGGCAGAATCAGTTTAATGCAAATTACATGCTCCTATATATACGACTAGTATAATACGGCTCCCAAATCTTTTTGCCATGATTTTCGTAAGCCTTTTTGCGACACGCTTGCAATAAATGTATCCATTGTTACCAAAGTTTTTGACGTTGAGATACGAAATTCGTATTCTTCAGTGTGTTTCGATATTGGGTTAGCAGTGAAGTCTTTTTCCGTGCATTATGTTAAGATAAAAGTGCGCATCAAAAGAATGCAACACTTTTTATTTGATTTTGAAACAGGCTTCAGTCGGTTTGTGTCAGAACTTACATGTGAAAGGCTTTTTCAACTTCGCTGAATCTTAAAAAGTGAAAAATATGAATCTTACTTTTATATCTGTTATATATCATAGACAGACATGAACGTTTTCAATATTTTCGCGATTCCTTGGTCACTATCGAGCAATTAAAATCAATAAATAATTTATGTTACGAAGAATTGACGTTCGTTAGTAATTGAAACCTGCGGCTGCAACTGAAAACCAGTGGGAAAACGATTTGCACGACAGCGATGCGTGCTGTAGGACTCTTTATTTCATCATCTGGTTATAAAATTACAATGTGTATATCGCGCACCGTTATTAAGGACGCAGATGTTTAATGACGTTTATGCGGGCGCGACGAGACTAGCAAGATATTGCGACTTGCGAAAATGTTTGTCGGATTGAGAGAGAACCACGACGCGTATCGCAGTCTGACGATCGAGAGTCTTGATCGCACCGCGTGCTACCGCAGAAACTGCTGTTGACACTTTCCCGCCCTTGCGGTCTCTCTCTCTCTCTCTCTCTCTCTCTCTCTCTCTTTGTACAGTGTACTTGGATTCAGATTAATTAATTCCTTACTGCGTGTACCGTATCTAACGTGCGATTGCTTGATTAAACGCAATAACGGTCCACTGAGTTACACGTGAGGGAATTGTGGAAAACATGTATAGGAAAATTAATCGTTATTAAATAGCTCGATTTTCCAGTATTTTATTATTATGGTCGCGTTATTATATATTACTATTTATTATAGTCGCGTATACTAAGAGTTAAAAAAAGGTTATTTTCTTTTTATGTCCCGTAATCTATAATTTAGTATTAATATTTCGTGGCAATGCTGTTCACACATTATCGCGGTATAATATAGAAACGAAGTCTGCAGATGAATCACTGGAGCGTATCTGGCTCATCATGAGGTATCCCCTCAATAATCCAATGTAGTCCGCGAAACACTCTCAAAGAGGAATCTGAAGGTAGACGAGACACTTAACAATGGTGCGGCGTTGAATGTGATTTAGTTTGGCGTCTAATCGGATCTATCTTGATACCTTTGCCGTATCTCGTGCCACTGCTGCTTCTCCGCGAGACCGAGGACACTTAGGACGCGACTGTAATTGTTGTACCTCGAATTTGTTGCTCGTCCTCATATAAGGTATATAGTAAGCTTATCCTTCCGCCGCTCCAATTTCCGGAGTTTTAATAAGTGATTAACATGAATAAGTCATATGGCAGATACGTGCATACACGATTTGCTCCAACTAATTTCAGTTTGAAAATATAAAATATATCCGTAATAACACTACAATAAACAGGATAATGTTAATTTTTTACAATTCACAATAGGAATTTAATAATATAGAAAATTTTAAATATATAATAATATTAATATATTTACCAGTCAAGCCGAATTGTAAAGCTCGTAACATATTCTTGTAAGATTTGTAAGAACAAGTGCTTACAACTTTATGCAACACCTTTACATACAGACATCTTCTCGCTAGCTGTACAAGATTTACGAGAAATCATATTTATGAATGAATGCGTCTTATAGTACATACGCATAAGTCTTACAAGAACAAATTACGAGTCTGACGATTCTGCTTAGAAGTCTTAGAACTGACTCATTAATTATACAATAGTAAATCTAACGATGAAAATTTCACACGTTCGCATCGTCGTGACTAGTCAATATAGTGAATGCAATATCGTCCTACGGCAAACGGGATACGTAAAATTGTGTCTCGTCTGATGAGTTCTCATGCTGTAGGCACTCTACCCCATGTTGTTTTTCAATGGCTCGAACCTCTGAGAAGAAAGATAGTACTCCAGCCACCTTCTTGTTTCGGATGTCTATAATACGCGTCATCCACCGCGTCATCCGTACTCCCTTCGCGAGATTCTATTCTCTCACCAGAAGCACAAAGCGCATCGCCCAACATCCTTTGTTGTCGTGCATCGACTTTATCTCCTCACTTCTTCCTCCTTTCCCTCCGGCAAATCTCTTTTTCTCTTTCTGTTCTCTTAACACATTCTCTCTGCTTTGTGGAAGGTCTCTCAAAGGGACTGGTCTCTCCTTCCAAGAGAGACTTCTCTTTGTTTTCCGGCGTACGAAGCTTTTTTCCTCCCCCTCGCTTCTCTCGAATCCCAATCACCTTGTCACGGTCTAACTATCATCGGCAAACTCTGAAGCTCATTGCCGGGGAGTTTCGCTACGACAAGCAGTAGCGACTCGACGACGGTAGACGAAATTTTAGATTTATTTATTTACGCGATTGCACGACACACGGGATTTCTATTGACGTAAGCTCCAATCAAGGACATTTCGCAAATCGGTCTTACTTCGATCGGCAAAAACTACTTTCCTCGCTTTGTCGGTATTACTTCCGCAATACGCTCGTTAGAGTACTATTGGATTGCACACTTAACACTGGGAACTCTATGGCTTGACAATAATTCTCTCTTCTGTTTCCTCTTCTATTTCTTTCTGTCACTTTGTTTCCGTTTTTCCTACGTTTTACGACGAGCATTCAGGTTACTGAAAGAATCAGACTCCTCGCTTAAGTTCCTGTTTTGGTTTTTTTTTTTTTCATTATCAGGACCGCGAGGAATCCTGCCGGGACCGTCGGGACCAGGCGGAGTGCACGAATCTCTACAAAAAACAAAAGATAACCGGACACCGTCCGCAACACACGTGCTAATTACGATGTCACGTGATCTCTCTGATCTGAAAAAACGCTTTTGTTTCAAAAAATAAATGGCAAACAAAGCGAAACTCTGCTCCTCTGATATGTTATATATTGATGTCTTCCTCTTCTTTTTTTTTATATAGACAATAGCTTTCTCTCATGTACCTATCCGACAACAATTGTATAAATTGTGTTATTGACGTAAACTTTACAATTGTAACTTAATTTTGCATTCATTCTATTAATTTGTCCAGAAACAAATGTATATAATATTAATCAATCAACCTATTAATGAGAAGTATGAACAATGTAAAATGTCTTTTACTTAATTACATCATTCTACTTTTTCTTTCCTACCTTTCCATTTTTTTCCTTATCACAATTTTTTCAGATTATACTTTATCGTAATATTATGTTCTGTTTTCTGTTTTTTTCTTCTTTTTGGGGAAAAATGAGATTCGCGCGGACACTTCTGTAATCCACAATCGCTATATCAAGACAAAAGAAAATCAATGTACATGATTGTTACTGTACTTTCGCACACGCGAAATCGCTTTAAACCATCTTTAATTGAGCACAATGCATTAATTAATTAGACGTCAGTGACAACAAGTAGGCGAAGGTGTTGTTACATCTCGAGCGTTACGCGAAACTTGGCGGTATATGAATAATACATGCGCATCGTCGCTTGTCAAAGTAAACGTCGCAATTGTAGCAGCGCGACGCGCTTTGTCAATTTGCGTAAATGTGCGTATTCTGTGATTAGTCGCGAATTTCAAATAAACTCGAGTCGTATACGTCAGCGTTATATTTTAACTCTCACCACCCGGTAGATCGTTGCATTTTTATCGACTGAGCGCACACAGCTGGGTCGTAGATCCTTACAGGTGTCACCTGCAGTTTTGTTTGAAAACATTCTTTTTTTCACGCAACGTACCGATCTGGATAGAAATTCAAGAATAATTTTAATCTAGCCGTGGGATTTCTTTATAAATTTTATAAACAAAACGAACGTGGAGTTTTGGAAACTAAAAAGAAATATTATTGTAATAAAATATATAAGAGAAAAAAATGTAAAATGAGATTCCTAAGTACGATAAAAGACTAAAGTGTTTTACAAGAAGTGATAAGTTTAGAACTGAAGAAAAATATTTTTAATACAAAATATGATATACATATGCAAATTCTTTTATTTAAACTGCAAATTATAAATGAATGTCAGCCAATATTCTCACGCCGCACTGCACCATTCTTCCATCGCGCTGTTGCCTCGAGCGTGGAGCGCGCTTCGAATATATTATTTTAACATAGCAGTCGAAAATATTTTCAATATACAGTGCGTTCCACTGCGTACTTTTTGTTTTTCTCTTTTTTGATGCGATCAATTGAAAAAAAAAAAAATTGAAACGTCCCAAAACCTTGCAAGAGATTTTCGAGGCAATTTCGCGCAGCTGCGATATGAAATTCGGTCAGAGGTCACCGAGCACAACCCTTTCACCTTAATTGGCCGGACACAACGCAGCATCCCGTCCTCAATTTCGCATCGTTCGCTATATATGACGTGGGTTGCTCTTGCTCCCGAATTTCCCGTTGATTGACGAAATTTCCTCCGCGAGAATCGAGCCTCAAAGGATCGTTCAAACGATCCTTCCGCAACAACAACGTGATAGCGTGAACTCGACTCGATGCAACATTTCCCCCCCCCCCCCCCCTTTCCCTGACTTCCTAGATTTCACATAAATCGGGACAAGCTACATTATTACCAT